GTGATACGAGAATCGGCTTCACTTGTGTCTTTGACGAGTTGTAGTGTGGTGCTAAGAATGGCAATGCTCAATGACGATGCTGACGAAATGTCTGGGAATGTAACACGTCAACGGTCCGACTCTGGAAATTATCATGCATACTCTGGACCTCAGACTAGGTGCGTTCCTTTAAGTCTTCCTACCAATATAACTAAATTGCGAAAATAGGGTTGTACAAATTCTAAACATATGTAAATTGTATATGCAGCAAAGAATTCATAAAGCAAAAATTAGGTTAAATAGCTCCCAAATTTTTGTTTTAAAAATTGAAGATAAATACATACACAAGAGTGTATTAAGTTCATGATTCAGCTGCTTTTCATCCCCAGATAAAGAGAGAAAGAAACGAGAATCTGAGGCTTCCGCCGCTTCGTTGCGCAATGAACCCAGGATACCAGGACGTTGGGGCTCTGTTTCGGCCTCGCATAAAACGACTGTTGATGGCGCTAGAACTTCGTTGCCTAAGACAAAACCTTGCGACAGGCCAACTGAATAAGGTTCAGGAGCGACGAATGCCTCAGGTGTATCGACCTGCTGTAAGTTGTCTGCATGTCCCAGCCTTCCGGCAGGACAGTGAGGCTGGGAAAGAGTGAGCCGAGAGGAGACAGCTCCCATTTGGTTTTGCCTCAAGCTTGAAAGAGGTGAAGTTTCGATAGTTTCTGACGGGACTGGTCGGCCGAGGACGTAGACTGAGGTAGAAGTGACGGCAGCAGAAGTGCTTACTGCGCCAGGGATGGGGGATTCATTTGATAGGACGCAGGAAAATGTCAAGGTGTCTTCTATCTTAGCAGCATGCAAAGCTTCTGGATGGGACTCGTTACGTACACGAGGAAGACGGAACTGGTGTCCACGCAGGGAAAGGAACTCGGGAGCAAGAGCAATGCTGGAAAGCTGAAGATGAATTTCAAAAAATGGATAAATAGACATGCCTAATAAATAAGCGAGAGATAGCATGAATAAAC